TTGTTTGTTTCTCCTGTGATTGTTTTGTTTTTTTTTAAAAAAAAAAAAAAAAAAAAAAAAACACAGGAGGAGGCAATGAAAATAATCTTACACAGAATTTACACCCTAAATTAAGTACATCATTCAAAACACTTCCAGTTAGTGACGCCTGTCAGTTAAATGAGTGATCGAGAGGGGGAGGGAGGGAAAGAAAGAGAGAGGGCAGAGAGTCCCTGGGAGGATTGTCCTACTTTTATTTTTGTTGATAAAAGTCCAGTTGCACTTTGGGAGTGTTTCTCGCTGTCTGTAAGGCATTTAGGGCTATTACTATATGTACGGAATGTTTTTTCTCTCATCTCCCACGGTTTATAAAGTGCAAAAGGAGCAGGGAGGAAAAAAAAACACAGGTAAGAGCTTGTAAGCCTTGGCATAATGACGCATGTTTATGGTTGAAGAGTCATGTGACAAGTCACTTCCATTCACCCTATAAGGCTAATCTATGCTAACTGCAAAATTATGCTAAATTGCTGGAAGCAACTAAATGACTAGCAGCAACTGGGTCCTGTCGCAAAATGCTAAATTGCTGGAAGCAACTAAATGGCTAGCAGCAACTGGGTCCTGTTGCAAATGCGTTCCGGGGTTGATTTTTTTTTATGGCTGGCCCTTACCACGAGTCCCTTTGTCAAAAAGTTGTTTGGTACACGTGTGTAACTATACTGACGTCCAGTACGGAAGACGTAGGCCCGAATACACGTACTATTACAGCCCTAATTAATAGTGACAACATGTACCAAAATAGCCAGTCACATCTATTTCCTAAGGCTGCTGAGGTCCTTTATCATTTGTGTGATGGTTCTGATGGTGATTTATAAGACTGGTAGCCCATGCTACATGATGTTACATGCAGGAACGGCATTCTCTGGGAAGTAGATGCCAATGCACTGAATAAAATGACGTTGTAGGGCTTTATTTGGACCCTCTAAATATGGTGTCAGAGAGAAGAATGCTGTCAATGATCAGGTCTGTCCTGGGCAGTGATATCCATTTCATAAGGTGTTCATCACACACACGAGTACCTTTAGCAATAGATCTATTCTACCAAAGTACGCCACAGAGTGCCACAGTAAATCATTCCAGCCTGGGGCTATCAAACTTGATAAAACCTCCCACTCGGTGTTATCGATATTACTTAGCACTCTTAAAATGAGAAGTAACTGAAATGTGGTTTACACACATTTTACCTTCAAAATCACCCCTCTCCATCTCTAAAAGTCATACTGTTCCAGATATGCTTTGTTCATAGACTAATAGTAAGTGCGTGTGGGTGTGCATGTGCAGGGACAGGCTGTTCCTGGCGCCATTGCTCCAGAGGACAGAGAGGGTTCTTCGGCTTTGTGTTCTGCCTCCTAAGTTGCTCTGCTCCTCTAATGATGAGAAAAACTTCAGAAATCTAAGACACAGATCCCCTGTCCCTAGAAAATGTCCAAAAACCAATGAGGTGTCATTAAAAGTCAAGTGGAATGAAAACACAGAGGGAAAAGTTCCATTACTGAGGTTGAAATAGAGAGATAGAGAAAAGAAATCTCCCTTCAGAGGGGAATTGAGAAGACTAATCATCTCCTCCAATCCATTATGTTTCTTCGCTTTCAGCAGATACTGCACCGCTCTATTTTTCTAAACTCCAAATCCAATCAATTTCTTCTTAAAAAACACCTGATTTGAGATGAGATGCTCACACCTGAGATACATCTGCTACTCTCAATGGCAACATTTAGTCCATTTTCAAAGAAAAAAGAACAAGTAATAAAAAATGAATTCAATCGCCCTCTTACTTCTTTTTACTCAACACAAGTGTCATTGACACAAATAATTACAAAGGGATAACTAGTGATGGGAATTAAGGACCTGTTCTTGTACAGAACCGGTTCCTGGTGGTACGATTCTTCTTTAACTGATTCTACAGAAGCATTTGCTTGATGAGACAATGTCACATGCATTCTCCTATCCAATCAAAGCATCGTTTGCTCCTGACGATGGTGCTGATGACTCCCTGTGGTATAGGGTCAACTTCTCTACCTACAAAAACAGTTAAATCGAGGGCAACTGGACGGAGTAGGTTTCTTGAAGACTCTTCACCGGTCATCTAAGAGGCTTCTTCAGTCCTGACTGACTACTGGGAAGTTCTGGTATTTAGCCTCCATCCTGTAACGAGGATTGCACAAAACAAGGGGGCGGAGGGTATAATCTGAGCGACACTTTTGGCTGGGTGTCCTTTGTCTTTCTGTCTGGGAGAGAGTTGAATTTTCTAAAGACAGAACTCAGGAAGATATCATAGGTGGATGAAAGTTTGTGTCTCTACCACCTCCTCTATTGAGAGATGGTTTCTCCAGATTGACGTAGATGGCTTTTTTCACCCCTTTCTCGAACCATCTGTCTCCCCTGGATATGTTCATCCTCATCCACAAAAGACTGTCCTTTGTCTTCAAGATGTAGATGAACAGCTCAGTCCTGCCCTGAGGAGCTGGCTCTCCTGTGTTGATGCATACACTTGTACAGTGGTTGTTTGGTTTCCCCAATGTAGAGATCAGGGCAGTCCTCACTGCACTGTACTGCATATACAATGTTGCTCTGTTTGTGTTGAGGTATTTTATCCTTTGGATGAACCAGTCTTTGTCTAAGGGTGTTGCTGGGTTTAAAATGTACAGGAATTTGGTGCTGGTTAAAAATTCCCAGCAACACTAGGAATGACTATGTCGTTCCGTTTGTTACCGTTCTCCTCGTTGTTCTTCTTGTTGGTTTAGGTGGCTTTGGAGAAGGCAGTAGTTGAGGTCGCCGCAGGTCATTAAAGCTCCTCTGATGTGGGACTGTTCCTTAGCCTTGTCTTCCTCTTGTGAAGCGATGTGTTCGGCTCTGTGATCCAGAGTTCTGATAACTCCCATTTTGTGTTGCAGTTGGTGACGTGAGTTGAAGTGTAAATATCGGTCGGTGTGGGTAGCTTTCCTGTGGACTTCGATGTAAAGGTTTCTGTCTTCCTTTATGTGCACTGCACAGTCCAGAAAGGCCTGCATGTCCCTTTTAACGTCTTCTCTGGTAAATTTAATGTGTTTGTTGGTTGTATTGATGTGTTTAGTGGAAAATTCAAATTCAATCTTCAGTCTTGATTTTTATCCATGTGTCATCCACGTACTGTATCTTGACCAGTGTGATGGTGCGATGCCGCTGTAGGAGGCTAGTGCCTTCTGTTCTACTTCCTCCATGTAGAGGTTGGCTACAGTGGGATATACTGGAGACCCCATAGCGCATCCATGTTTTCGTCTGTAAAAACTGTCGTTGAACTGGAAATAGGTGGTCTTTAAGCAGCGGTCTGAGCGCTCTTTTATGATCATCTTGATGGAATCAGAATTTAGAATGCAAGTAAAAAGTGAAGTGATGTCAAACAAAACCATTATCTCATGGTTCCAGTTTGAGTCCTCTAACTTTGTTAGCAACGTCTAGAGAATTTTTGAGATGATGTGATGTGTCCGATGACCGAATTAATGCTGCTGATTATGGCTGTAAGATATGGGTTTGACTATTTTTGGATAAGATGACCTGGATGACTTAGAACATACGCAGACATGTTCTCTACCTACAGTTTCGCCACTGAGGTGAAGAGCAGTAAAATAAATACAATTGAATCATACTAAACCAGTCCTCAACCTTTTTCGTACCGGACCGGTCGGCCAGTATTAGCAATTACTGCGGACTGGTAATACCGTGCCATCATTGAAGGATCAATACATTACAAGTCATCAAGTAAAAGGGCAACTTGACTGTCTTGATTTCTTTAATGCCTCTAAAACATCTCCTACTGTCATATAATTAAAATCTACAACAGGTTTATTTATAGTTTTTTTATTTCTTTGTTACCTATTGTTTTATTTTGTATCACAGTTACTGCTGCACAGCTTCTCCGCTCTGCTTCTTTCTGCAGTTTTAACAGCCTGTCCTTAACTGATTATGCCCTGGAGGAAAAATAAAGTTACCTAAATTGAATTTCGATTTTTTTTTACCTTCAGTTGTGCTGGCAGTGTAAAGCACTTACTTTGTTTCAGGATAAAAACCTAACCTGTTTCTACTCTTAGCAAAGACTTAGATTACTTCATGTTGATCATTCAAATAATTCACCCGCCTGTAGGTCAACAACAAACAACATAGACACATTTTTTAAAAATCGTGTCAGCAAAACAAAGATGAACAACCAGATCAAATTTATAATATAAACAGAAACTTCCAGAAGTGGGACTATCAGAAACAATAGAATTCTATGAGTGGAGGTTAAAGCACAAACATCTTCATTTGTTGGTGAAGTTTAAAAAAAAAAAATCTATATTTATTAGACTATAATAAGACTATAACTATAACTAAATTTAACCAGTAAGCAAAACATATTTCCAAGTGTTGTTTGTGGAGCTTATTTGTGATTTCCATTAGTCTTCATATGTATTAAATGACGAAAAATATATATAAAAATTCAAACACTGAAAAACAAATATATATATACTGTATATATATATATACACTCACCGGCCACTTTAGTGAGTGTGTGTGTGTATATATATGTATATACATATACATATATATATATTAATCAAATAAATACAAACTGTCCAGGTTCCAGCTCTCCCTCTTGCACTGGTTTGTTTACCTGTTACTGTGAATTACTTATTGACCTGTGGTAACGTGATGATGCCATGAGTGTGAGCAAGAAGGACTCAGCTTTCCTCTTTTCAAAATGCCAATCAAAAGTGAGAAGCACTTAACGTAATAAGGTTTACGGCAACAAGGTTACCTGATGCTGTCTGATTTGCTGGCTCTGTAATGAGTTGTGAAATGCGTGAAAATTACCTAGAGCTGTCCTATTTACTGTTCATTGAAGCTGTAGGGGTGTTGTTTTTCTAAACATACACCGAGTTTACATCTGAACAGATAATAATGAGAAAACCAAGGAGAAAAATGTGCAGAACAAAAAGATTGGTTTAGGATCAATTTCAGGAGTTGTTTTTTTTTTTGCATTAACTGGAAGGTTTGGTCCAATCTGGATTTATAAGCTGAAATGGTTTAGATCAGGAGTCACCAACCTGAGCGCTTCTTCAAGGGCACTTAGTAACACAAAGAGCTATTTGTTTTGATGCAGACTTCATCCCTCATGTGATCAGTGTAACTGATTTTAAAAGCACTGTAACAGTAGAATTCTTTACCCTTTTGTTGACTAGTTTTATTTTTAGAAGACCTGGTGGGCACTTTATGTAGTTCAGCCTTGGACATTGAGGCCCTCTATATTGAGGCCCATATAATATATTTAGCTATAACAATGACTGCAAAAAGGGATGATAACCTCTTCTCCACAACAAGAACGAAACACTATCTAGACATGCATATTTCTAAAATTATAAAATTTCTTAAATTGCTTTTACATCCTGTTGCAAAGCTGTCTTTTCCACCGATTTGTAATTACCTCAATCCCCCATAACACAATCCAAAGAGATAAGGGAGGCAAAAGGAGCTGCTAGTCCACTGCTGCCTCCTGTGGTCAATTTGTGTCATTGGAGTAAGTTTGAACGAAGGATTTTCTGCAGTTATTGATAATAACATAACATATTTGAACTGAAAGTGGACATATTTTGGTACGTTTTATGTAACTTAGTTTGAATCTAAATTTAAATGTTTGAAAAAAAAAAACACCTTGCTTCACAGCCCCGTTCTGAAGGGCAGCTACTATACTGTGGCTCTAACGAGCCACTACGTGCTCCATCTATCTTTTCCACAGCGGGAAAACCTAAGGATAGCTCCATGTAACTATGGCAATGGTTAAGAAGTGAGAAGGGAATGTTGACAGTAAATTGGCAGGTATTGACTAGCGCATGAGCAATTAAGTGTTTTTTTTATTTTTTTTTGTTGCGTACACCATTCCCCCAGGTATGGTAAACTGACACCGGATGACAAACTACAGTATGACAGCAATTTGAGCCAGATTAGGACCCGAAGCTAACTACAGTATGACAGCAATTTGAGCCACATTAGGACCCAAAACCCAAGAAGAAGCTCCACAAGAAAGCTTAGAGTCAAGTATAAACCTGCATATTTTACAGTTTAGAGTTAACTTTGCTACTTTGAGACGAGTAAAATTGTAAGAAAAATGCAACCAAAAATGGAAATCATGTCTTTGTCTAAACTTTGTGAGTATGACAAGACAATGAAGACCAAGTGAAGTCTAAGATAATATAAAACTTTTGAGATCCAGAAAAAATGTTGGTGCAACAATAGTTTCCTACCTTCTGTTTATGTGCAGCCAGATAACCATGGATCTTCTCCGATCGGAGAAACGATAATCCAGTGTAAACAGCAAAGCGAATGTCCAGCATTCTGTCCCTCTTGTCCATCAGGCTGAAGATGTTAATGTCCTCAGCTGGAACTGAGAGCATCTCGGACAGGAAGTCATTCAGCAGGTCGTAGCGGCTGCGCTGTTTCCCTCGCAGCTCCATAAACTCCTTGGCTGTTATGTCTAAGAAAAAATATTTGCTCGGGGTTAAACGAGTTCTGTGAAAGCTTTTAACAGAAAACTGATTTTTTTCCTAAGAAACCTACACAGATTACGATTGCACCCAACTGTCTGACGTGACGCAAATCCCATTGGAAAAATTGAACTTTTCAGAAGACACTGCACCACCACGTTTAAGTGTATCCTGATGTCACCTTATCGAAGTTAAGAAAGGAAGGAATGGAGGAATGTGAACTGCTGGTCATTGTGACACAGCACATCACTGCACACAACCAAATGTGACCTCTGCTTTTAACCCATCACCAAAGTGAACAGTGGGCAGCTTTAAGCGCCCAGGGAGCAACTTGGGAGCAACTTGGGCTTTAAGCGCCCAGGGAGCAACTTGGGGGCAACTTGGCAGCTGGTAGACTCAAACCTAAAACCTTCCGGACCCACTAAACCACTAAGCCACAACTGCCCCCTTTAAGCAAAGATGTTGCCAACAGTGGAGGTGAAGCTAATCATCACCATCAGTGGGCACCAACAATGCTGCAATATTTTATCAGGACCAGAATAAAAAAGAAGAGGCATGGTCCAAAGTTAGCCAGCAGGAGGGACTCCTTGGTAAGTTGTGAGGCTATCTGTGTTTTTTTTTTTTATGTTGTTACATACATGTTTCACAAATGAGGCAATGATCCACAACTGATCAAGCAGCACATTACAGGTGTTTCCATCTTATTTCCCCACATCTATTGCGATTTGCGTGAACGCAGGATAAGGAGTTGGTTGTGGATGACAGCAGAAAACAACAACTCCTACCCGCCAGTCTTCATTGGCTGGGGTCCCAATATTAGATACCTTAGTATACACTGAGGATCCCTCTTGGTCCAGACACACTCAAGTCACCAGTGGAGACAGTGACTTTACCACCTGAAACAGCTGAGAAGGTTTAGGGTCTTGGCTGAGATACTCAAAAGCCTCTACACAGCCACTCTTGAGAGCCTTTTGACTTTGAGCATCGCTTCCCGGTTTGGCAACAACTCAGAATCATACAGTTAAGCCACACAGAGGGTCATTAAAGAAGCCGAGCGCGCCATCAGATCTGATCTGCACTCCCTGCAGGACCTTTTACACCATTTTAGACCAGATGCGTTGAGGACAGTTCCCACTCGAACAACTTGCTTTTTTGGCTGCTGAATTCAGGCAAACGATTCTGCAGCTTCACAACCAGGAGGAACTTTTATGTGCACAGTATAAGACTCCTCGACCAGTTCATTCTCTCCTAATTCCTGCCAACATCTTTTAGACTTTATCTTGTTAGTATCTTCTAAGTCTGAATGACCTATTGTTTTGAAACATTGCCAGATTATTTTTTTAATGAAAAAAGTAAATGGATATGACGGGATTCTTTTTAAATGAAGTAGATAAAGTGAAACTGAAGTACATACTTTTTCACTGGGTCCCACTGCGGCCCGGTACCAAATGACTTACAGATCAGCACTGGTCCCCAGACTGGGGGTTGGGGACCCAGATTTACCAAAGCTCAATGCCCTCGCTTCCTCTTTACCAACCCTGTATGATTTGATTAACAACCTATCCTCTACCTGTCCTTATCTCTCTCTCATTTTCCTCATTCATTAGCTCCTCAAAATACTCTTTTCATCTTTCAGCACACTATACACACACTAATTGGCCCAATCCCATCTCTATCATTAACCAACCTGGCCTGCTGAATATCATTTCCAGCCCTATATCCCTGATTAGCTAACCGGTACAAATCTTTGTCCCCATCCCAATTATCCAACCTTTCATTCAACTCATCACAAGCCCTCACCTTTGCCTTGGCTTGTGCTCTCTGAGCCTCACTTCCAGCCTAGTGTTCTTTTTCTGTTTATCTCATTTTTCTGGATATATTCCTGAAGATTTCTATTCCTCAACCAAATTTCCCTGCAATCTCTCCACTGGCCTGGAGTCGCACCGTAAACCGTCCTGTTTCTTTCCCTCACCACTTTAGCAGTCCTTTGCTAGTCTTCTGAACTGATCTGATCAGAACTCTCTGCAGCACTCCTTCTCTTTTTTTTTAGTTTCCATCGTTTTAAACTTGAGACACATGCTATCTCGAGCTCTTTTTTATGCCCAGGCTCATAAAAGAAATGAATGCACTTGACAGCTTAACGTTGTTGAAAGACAGTGCAGTTCTTTAAAAATACCACTGACACTGATGATGAGATTAATGATGAAAGTGTCCGCTATTGAAAGAAGAGTATGAAGTATGTCAATGTCTATGAATGACACAAAGTGAGTTCAGAGGAAACATTTGGAGAAAAAAAATTAAGATTGAATTGAATATTAAAACTGTATTTTTGTAAAATATCTATATAGAATTTCTACAAACTTAGTGCACTGATTAAAAGGTTTTGTTAAAAATGATGACTTGAATGACACATCCAACCACTTACCATGTTTTCCGGATTATAAGTCGCACTTTTTTCACAATTTGGCAGGGTTTGCGACTTATACTCAGGTGCGACTTATATGTCAAAATATATAATTTCACGTTTGTTATTTTCACACTGACAGCTGCTACAGGGCACTCTAGGATTGTGTACCAGTATCGACTACTCCTTTACCACTGAAAATGTACATTAATTAAACATTGACAGCCGCTAGAGAGAACTCCAATGCATCTTTTAAACACTGACAGCCGCTAGAGGGCACTTCAGTGAATCTTTTACTCCAGAGCGACTTATATATGTTTTTTTCTTCTTCATTATGCATTCTTTGGCTGGAGAGACTTATAGTCCGGGAAATACGGTATTTAAACGCACACTGTCAAAGGGGTTGGTTTCAAGGAATTTCAAAAAAATACGTTTGAATTCACTGTCGTAAAATTGACAGAAGACTGTATCTAAACATATTGCATAAATACATTTAACTAGCTGAGCCTTTTATTGTTAACTACATTTCAGAATCCAGTGTTTATTATTAAAGCAACAATGTGACAGAAAGGAAACACTGAGCTATTCCTTACAACAATTTAAAAAAAAAAACACAAAACACAACTCAAAACAAGGTTAAAATTCGAGTTGTTTCATACATCAGGTTTTTGTACCCTTACCTTCGTTGTTCACTTTCATAACACATTTGCGAGTTTGCAGTCAACGTCTGCTTTAATTTTCCTTTAACTCAAATATTGGAATGTGAGCACCAGCTGTTCTCTGCCGTGCTCACTCTGAGCTTCACTGCACATTCATTTACATTAACCCTATTTCCAGAAGCAATCCTCGTAATAAATCATTTCATTCGCACACACACACACAAACAAACAGACACACACTCAGAGAGTAAACCGTCGCCTGGCTAAGTTTTCCTTCTCCTCCAGCTTCTATTTCAATATCTGTGAAATCATAAAAATCCTTCAGCCATATCCCATTTCTCTAAAGAGAATTTAATTCTAGGGTGTGGGGTGGAGGAGGCGAGTGATGGTTCTGCGCATCAGGTAATGATGGATGCAGCTCACAGAATGTGCTGCTGGAGCAAAAATCCTAGACCACTAATTATTTCAGTAGGAGAAGCGACTGAAAATGGGATTTTTACGAGTCAGAGAGAGAAAAAAAGGGTGTTTTTTTTTTTCAAGGTGAAAGTTTTATTCAAATAGTTTTTAGCACTAATTCATTTTCTAGCAATGCGTGAGTAGTGTTTCGCAAACAGTTCCTTTGAAACAGTTCTAAAAGAACAAGCACAATTTGGGATTTCAGCAAGTTGTTCAAGCTGAAACCACATCCGTGCTCATCAGGATAAATGAATCAAAATCCAAAGCGGCTCCAGATGGCATGATTCTTTTTGAATGATTTTTTGTGTTTGTACCTGTTTGTGGGTGTGTGTGTGCGTGTGTCTGTACCTGTCAGTCTCAGTGAAGCAGAGTTATGGACAGCCTCCTCCCTCAGCTCCCTCACATACACAGTCGTTTTAGAAACGGCGTCAGGCCATATTCCGTCGGACACTTGCACCTGGAACTGGTACGTTCCTGGAGGTGTGTTCTCTTTGACGATGAGGAAACCTGTTCGTTTGTTCAGGATGAAGTAACTGAGAGGGAAACGAGCACACACACACACACATATATTTTTTTTAAAACTCCATCTTCCCTTCCCCATCCTTTTCTCATAGACCTCCCTCCTCTTCTTCCCTTGTTCTACTCTTCATCCCGCTCTCTGCCTCATGTTTGACTTCATTTCTCTGCATTGAATTGTGTTATTCCTCTGGTTTTCTGCTGTAAAGTGACTCTCCTCTGGGACGAGAACTGAGCGGGAACGTTCAAGAGAAATGAGAGCAGTGAACAGACTCGGAAAACATTGGAGTGGAATAATTCCACACTTATCCTTCTCCGCACTGCTCGTCTTCATGAAATTAGTTCATTCAATTTTAATTAGAGAGAAAATACAGAGGAGGAAAGTCTGACTTGAGGGCCAAACGTGTTATTTTTACACCAGCAATGTGGGCCCTTAATGAATCTGTTAATGTAATTGGAGGCTCTTGGTGAATATGTTCACTTATATTGATGAGAGGATTAGTGTGAATCGTCCTTGATTAACCAATTTATAAACCATTAGAGAATTATGTGCATACATATCTTTTCATATTTTTCTTTGGAAATCCCCAATTTTTACAATATATCTGTACAGCTAAAGACATTTAGCACTTGCTCTATTTTTATTCATTTATCTCTGGGCTGGAACTTAAAATCACCCAGTCTGATTATTGAATTAAAGATAAACACATGTAATACACTCCAGCCCAGTAGGTGGCAGAAATGCAAATATAATTAAGTTGCTAGCTAAGCCTACAGCTCAGACTTGCTGCAACAATGCTATTCCAGGAAGATGGTGCAGCCTGCAATGTAAAAAACAGTAAAACTGCTAACAGTTTTAGGTTAAGGATCATCAACTATAATTGTTGGAGAGCCAGAATGTTTCTAGACCAGGCATGGGCAAGCTAAGGCCCGGGGGCCGGATGCGTCCCGATCAGCTTATTAATTCAGGCCGCCAAACTTTTCTTTTTACTTCTACCTTTTCCCTGCAATAGATGGCGCAGAAGATGATAAAAGCAATTTAGCATCTTATCCTTTATGCATGACTTTTACATGTCATTTATCTTAGTTCACACGGATGCTCCATCTATCTGGTCCTGACCCAGCCCCTCTGTTCAATTTTAGGACAATTGTGGCCCACGAGTCAAAGGGTTTGCCCACACCTGGTTTAGGTCAAAAGGTTTGCCCACACCTGGTCTAGACAGATATCTTTAATCTAATAATAATAATAATAATAACAATTTAACCTTTATATTTTTATCAACACACAGCAAATGTGCCTTTAAAAGAATAAGAATAAGAATAAGAATAAGAATAAATAATAATAATAGCAAATGTACATTTCGAATAAATTTAGGACGAACATCTCACCTGGGAACATGTCCTTCAAACACATAGGTCTTATTGTCCCAGTCATCAGGATCAGGAGCGTAAACCTTTCCAAGAACTGTGGTTGGCAGCCGACCTGAGATAGAGGAGATCTGTTGTTATACCATACCAACGGTTAAATGCATGATTACATCATCAATAACAGTCGACAACCTGCTTGTTAACATTGACTCTCCACAAACAAAAATCCAAGAAGAAAAATGTATACTTCACAAAGAGTGAAGTTTAAAAGTAACTCGCTTGAACTTGAACAACGGCTGTGTCTTTTTCAGCTGTAACATCCTGTTTTATGATGGGCTTTTGTGTGGAAGGAAATCAATTAAGAATTGGTGTAGAACTTCAGTTTCAAATGGTGAAATCTGTTCTCCTCGGAAACCTACTGCTTAACACCAAATATTATACTTGTTTATCTGAGTGTCTGTTTGCATGTTGAAATTGAAAAACTCTTGACTTCACTCCTGAAATTTCCCCTGAGCAGAAATGAGAGGTCCGGTTGCATGTGATTACCAGTGGGGGAAGTAAAACTCAGGGAGGGGTTGTGTTTGATTAAGGCAGTGGTTCTTAATTATTTTATGTCACGCTGCCCCCCCTTGGGGACAGAAATGTTTTCACACACCCATGTGCCCCTGACCTACACCCCCCTGTACTGAAATACTATTGAGAACCTGATAACATGTATATTTTGTATCTGTACAAACCACTGTATGAGTTGCTGCCACCTAGTGACTGGAGGCTTGTTATCATTCATGCATTACAGCAGTGGTACACTTATGTCCATATGCGTGCCATATTCCATTGGAAGCCCCCCCGGCACCTCACCGCACCCCCCCCCC